TATGAATTTTATTTGACAGATTGGTTAAATCAATTACAAAGGGTAAATTAGGAATATGTGATATTTGGTCATAGAATGCATAGATGGACAATAGTTTAATTATTTATCCTTAATTTTCAATTTTCCCCTAACTAAATCTCTCCAAAAACGAGTAAGATCTTAACTTATTCTATGGTGCAAAAAATAGGGAAAGCAATTTGCTCTTAATTTCGAGAATTTGTTAACGTAAATTCATTCACTGTTCAAAGAAAATTTACTTCAAAGTTAAAGTAACAATATTATAGTAACTAGGAATTAGACCCCTCCAGTGGGACAAAATTGTATTTTATGTATTTTATAAAATATTTTATAATTTATTGGATTTTGAAATTCACAATTTTAAAAAATCATTTCTCATTTGTTTATTTTATATTATAATTAATATAGGGGAGACTCACAAAAATGCCTCTTTTTCAATACCCCTTTTCAAAAATGCCCCATTTGGCTGTCCATTTTTAAAAATACCCTTTTTTATGTACAAAATGACTAAATTACCCTTCTTTTAATAAAAGATATCACAAATATATAAGGAAATATAACAAAATTAGGTCCACAAAATACAAAATATTTTTTGGCGGGAAAAGTGATACCGCAATTTTTCCCGCCAAAACACTTGTAAAAACTTGTAAAACCTTTAAAATACCTTGTAAAATTTTCCCGCCAAAAATTTTTTTTTGCGGAAAAAGTGATTCTGCAATTTTTTTGGCGGGAAAATTTTTGGCGGGAAAAATTTACAAGGTATTTTAAAAGTTTTTTACAGGGTATTTATAAGGTTTTACAATGTATTTTAAAAGGTTTTACAACGTATTTATAAGGTATTTATAAGATATTATAAGATTTTACAAGCTATTTTATAAGGTTTTACAAGTTATAAGGTTTTACAAGTTTTTTATAAGGTTTTACAAGTTATAAATACCTTGTAAGAAAAAAAGAAGAAAAAGAAGAAAAAAAGGAAAAAAAAAGAAAAAGAAAAAGAAAAAAAAAAGGAAAAAAAGAAAAAAAGGAAAAAAAGAAAAAAAAAAGAAGAAAAAAAAAAACCTTGTAAAACCTTTTAAAATACATTGTAAAACCTTACAAAACACTTGTAAATACTCCGTAAAACCTTTAAAATACCTTGCAAATTTTTCCCGCCAAAAAAATTGCGGAATCACTTTTCCTGCATAAAAAATTTTTTGGCGGGAAAATTTTTTACGGGAAAATTTTACAAGATATTTTAAAGGTTTTTACAAGTGTTTTGGCGGGAAAATTGCGGGATCACTTTTCCCGCCAAAAAATATTTTGTATTTTGTGGACCTAATTTTGTTTCAAATAAGGGTAAAATGGTCATTAAAAATTAAAAGAGGGCAAACTTAAAAATGGACTCTCAAAGGGGGCATTTTTGAAAAGGGGTATTGAAAAAAGACATTTTTTAAAAAATTTCTCTTAATATAGTTGATATATATAAATATTGTTTTTGAGTTGTTATATTTGTTACCTAAATGTGTTAAGTTGTATTGATGTACTTAGAAGATTTGTAGGTGTAGTGTTAATATTGGCAAGCATTTCTAATGATGGACTATTATAATAATTTGATATTAATTTGTATCTAAAAAATTTACTCCGGTACATTGCGGATCAATTTTTTTAAATAAAAACTTTAAATTTTGTGTTAGATTTGTTTTGTTAATATTGTTTGGTTTGTTTAGTGTTTAAGATTATATAATTATATTTTTATTTTTAATTTTAAGATTTCACCCGTAGTATACCTTCCCGTATTAATATCAACTCAAATCCGTCCCGCCATATAACCCCGCCCCATGAAATTAAACAGCATTTTGTTTTTTTTCATCGATTCAGTAATATACGTCCGTTTTTAAAAATTTGAATCACATCATATGTAGAAAAAAATAATATTTTATCAATTATATGTATTTTATATAAATTCAAAACAAAATTAAATATAAAATCATATAAAAGTGAAAAAAGAAACATATATTAATGTTTAAATTAGGTAGAGAGGTTTTAGGAAATTAGCAATTAATCGAATTTAGAAATAAAATCAATTTGTTACCATCTTTGGAAGCCATGGTTTTTAAAATATTTTCGAAAATAATTTGTAATATTAATTAATAGATAAACATTTATGACAATGACATTCTCTTGTAAATAAGTGGCAACTCTAAGAATTATTTCATATTTTACTTCAAAAATGTATATATAGATGTTTAATGTTTTCTCTTTTCTTATTTTGTTTCTATGTATGTTTTCTCTTTTCTGATTTTGTTTCTATGTATGTTTTGGTATCAACTTAAAATAAAGAGAAATTGTTAAAAATGCCCCTTTTTCAATATCCTTTTAAAAAATATCCCTTTTGAGAGTCAATTTTTAAGTTTGTCCTCTTTTAATTGGCATACACCGAAACCCGAACCCGAACCCGAAGTTTTAAAATACCCGAACGGGTCTTAGTTTTCTAATCCCGAAAAACCCGAACCCGAAAAACCCAACCCGAACCCGACCCGAATATCCGAACGCCCAGGCCTACCACCAGGTCTAGGAAATCTCCCATTCCTAGAAATGTACAACATCGGATTCAACAAAATAGTATGGGGTAGAGATCAAAATCTTGATAATTTTATCAAGTCTTTGAGTAATAGCTCTCTACTTAACTTCCTTGCATTTGATGGAAATCTCTTGGAGGGTGTTCTTCCAGAATCTATTGGAAATCTTTCGAAGAATCTTTCGAAACTTTTCATGGGAGGAAACCGCTTCACGGATAAAATTCCAGAATCTATTGGCAATCTCACTGGCTTGACGCTTCTTAACATGAGTGATAACTCACTCACTGGTGTCCCTCAAGAAATCAGAAATTTGAAAGGGTTGCAAGTGCTAGAACTCGGAATAAATCAACTTGTTGGAAGAATCCCTGATTCTCTTGGCGATCTTGGCTCGTTAAATGAGATCAATCTATATATCTCAAAACAATCTAGAAGGTTTGATCCCGCCATCGTTCAAAAACTTCAAGAATGTGCTATCCATGGACCTATCCAACAATAG